AGAGAGAGAGAGAGAGAGAGAGAGAGAGAGAGAGAGAGAGAGAAAGAGCAGAAGAGGAAAACGCCCGAAAATACAATATGACACCAGCCGTGAAAATCCCGATACACACCCACACCAACGGGTTCCTTTTTGCAGACTCCCACAAAGGAGTTTCTCGCCTCCTCCTCCTCCTCTTCCTTCTTCTCCTCTTTCTCCTCTTCCTCCTCCTCCTCCGTCGCCGTCGTCGTCGCCGTCGTCGTCGGGCGGAATGCTACGCTACCGCGCGCGCCGTCGAACGCTGCGATTCATTTCTCGGCTATGCGTGCCCCGGATGCTCTTAACGGGGATTACGAGGAACGCAAAAATAAACCTTGCCGAGCAAGGCGCGAGGAAGGAACTAATAAGGAGACGGACGCCGGGCTCGATCGGCGCGCGCGCTCGCGTGCGTCGAACGGCGTTAGGGGAGAAAAAAAAGAAAAAAAGGAAGAAAAAATACACCGGCCGAAAGTGCGTCCATCTTTATCTCGCGTCGTCTCGCGAAGAAAGGTCGGCTAACGTTCGGGCTGGATCCCGCTCGGCCGTATGCAATTTTATATAGCGAGCCCCGGCACAGAGAGATACTAACATTCACCAACCGGAGGTCTACCGCTTTTATTTCGCGCGCAAACGCGTCCATTGCCTACGGGCGCGGTATAAATAAAGCGCGAGTATTCATTCGCCGTGCGTCGTTATTATTATCGACGAGCAGCATTCTTCGCGTCGTTCATTGTTACGATAATAACGTCGTAAATTTTCGCGCGGGCGCATTAATCCCCACATCCCTCCCCAGCCTGTTACAGCGAATCCTCATCTCGTCTCGCTGCGCTGAATCGGACGATCGAGAGCCTCGATTTATCGGCGGGCATCGAAAAACGGTAATAAATATTTATCTCGCGATGGTGAGATAACGCGCGCACGATCGATGACGCTGTGGTGATGGTGGTGGTGGTGGAGGCAACTTCTTTGTCGGGCAGCTGAGATTCAATTAAAATAAATCGCGACGCTGACGGCATATCGAGGTGAACGCGAGTGCTATTCTTCCCGCCGGCGAATTAATCGCCTTTACGTAATTGCAATTGATACCATTACGCAGAGGGGAAGTAACGCGATTACGAGGCGACAGCGCTCCATGTAACTTATGAGCACCGCAATTAACGAGAGCGACTTGATCGCACACCCCTCGTTATTTCGCGTTCGCGCGGGCGCTATCTCGGTAGGCGGACTGAACAAGCGATATTAGGACTTGGATTATCCAGGTCAGGGGTTCCCAGCGGGGCAGAGTAAGACAGAGAGAGAGATAGAGAGAGAGAAAGAAAAAGAGAGAGAGAACGCGCAGCCCGATATTGGCACTCCACGAAATTATTACACCGATTTCGGTGAAAATAATACGGACGTGTTCGCACAGCGCGGTTGAAATCGCGGGGGGAAAATATCCTGCAGTAAAAAAGAAAATGAGAGAAAAAAATGAATAAGCGAAATCTCACTCGCTTCGTCGGTGAAACCGCGCTCAAATAACGTCAACATGAAGCTCGAAGAGAGAGAGAGAAAGAGAGAGAGAGGGAGGGAGGGATAGCAGAGTTAATTCGAAAAATGGTTTGACGTAAAATAAAATCGGAATAATTGTACGTAAAACTCGCGAGGTATTGTGTCACGTTTTCTCCGCCCATTTGTACATAAATTTGCGCTCTGTGTGATTGACAATTTTCGAACATGCACGAAAGACACTCGTGCTCGGAGCATGCATGATGTTATGTCATGTGCAGTCCGGCCGAACGGACTTTGTAACTGCGATCGTCTGTCGCTCGAGAGTAATGTATCGATTCTAGCCGCGGTATATCGATTCTAGATATTCGCGTGCAGCCACCGCGGGTGATTTTCCGTGCGCAAGGAAGGCGGAAGTTGTCCGAATCGTCCTTTATTCCATGCGGATCCGTCACGCCGCGACGAATTGAACTTGACATTTAACCGATAACGCTTGTTCGCTCGCTCTCGTCCGGTTATCGAGATACGGCGTACGAGTGATGTCAGCATGACCCGCTTCCACACCGCACGTGTCCACGCGATAATGAGATGCACGAGCGTCGGTTGCACGTAATAAGTTTACGAACGACTACGGTTGGAAACGTCCCCATCTGCCGAAACGCGGCCTTTCGCTAGGAGGAAAACGCCCAGTAGCCGGCACTCGTTACAACATTCAACACCTTTCTCCCTCTCGACACCCTTATTCGAGTCCCATCGAACATCAAGGTATGCAGAAATTTATTACTTTTTTATTAAATTATTTTCATCCGTTATTATTTATTATTTATCTATTTGTAACGACTAGTAGCCTGCGCTCGTTGCAGCACTCAACACCTTTTCCCTCTCGACATCCTTACTCGTATCCCATCAAATATCAAGGTATGCAGAGATTTATTAATTTCTCATCAATTATTATTTATTATTTATTGTTTATCTATTCGTTTTTTCTTAAATCGCCATATATCTTGATATTTAACGATATTCACACAAGAGTATCGAAAACAGGTAGAGAATGCCGACAAATGGATGTTTCATCCTACTCGACGGTGCGGCTGAAAGCCGCCGCAATCCGAGAGTGAACATGCATAATTCTCGAAAAAAAAGTACCGGAATTCTAAAAATGAAGAACGTTCCGAAAGGTCACAAACCCGGAAACTGAGTACAGGAACAATCTCTCGAAATATCGAGAGCACGAAATCGTCGGTACGTTATCATACAACTTTATGGGACAACTTCATGCTTTCGATATTTCGGCAGATTGTCCTTGCACTCAATTTTCGGGATTGTGACCTTTTGGGACGTTGTACTCCACCTTTTATAAATTTGAGATTTTGGTTTTCCGGATGATTATGCATGTCCACCGATCCAAGACGCGCCGATTTTTACTTCGAGCGACGAGTCTTCTTAAAAAGTGAGAAAGTTATCCTGTTACGGATCGCTCTCGAGACGCGGAAATGTTACGTCGCGATATTTCAGACTGATGGCAAAATAAACATTACGTCAGTGCCGACAGATGAGAACGTTTACCGTATGATCTTCTTGCTAACGTACTCATTAATTTCTTTCACGATATCGCAAATTTTTGATGAAACTTCTCGGCGCGGATGCGTGCGACTCTTTCTCTCCCTCCCGTTACTATAAATGCCATCGCATGGAAACTCCGCGCTTAGAAAGCGCAATACGTTCCAATAACGTATCTGCGATCGCGATTTGCATTTAAAATTCAGATCCTGTTACGCGAGCTCCTCGTAGGTACCTATTTCCCGGACGCGGTAGCAACGAAACCTTCCACTGTCCGATTACTTTCGTATTTGAGCGAACGCAGGGCGCCCATTCGAGTCGCGGAAAGAGGTTCCCTTATTTTTCAACCCTATTTTTCGTGTGATTTTTCGTGTGATTTCGTTGAAATCTGCAGACAAAATTAACCTACACGAAGAGAATTTCATAGTAAACATTATTACAGAATTTCGTAATCGAGGAACAGATCGACATTCCGTTTGTAGGAACTGAAATGTGTTATTAAAAGATTTGTTATTACTCAAAAAAAT